TCAACAAGAGCTAGATAGGGATCGAAAGAACTTATTTCTTCTGGTTTTAAAAAAATTAATCATACCATGTAATCTTTAATTTTTATGTACAGATTCTGTCCAGCAGTGTGTAAATTTTAGGCTTCCTTAAACTCTGAGTGCATAACTCTTCTGGACAGTTGAACTTGCTAGCTACCTAGATGATAGTGGAGGATGTATTGATATACGTAGAGGAAGTATTATAGTCATTTGACCTAGAATATAATAATGAAATACAGTAATATTAATAATGATGTAATGATTTGATTAAAATGTTGTTGAGTCTTATGAACTTAATCATGAACCTGCCTGTGACCTCGATCAAATCCTTTAAAGTGTTATATTTTTCCTTTTTTAAATTTAGGTGATCTCATATTTTAGCTTCCCTTGCCTTAGGTAGAATTTTGCTTACATAGCAAATGGAAGAGCCAAAGAGTTAAGAGTTGGAGGACTTTAGGGATCATCTGCTATCTATTTTGTTCCCTTTACAAATATTTGCCTGGCACTGTTTTGGTTTTGAGGATACAATGAAGTCCCTGGCTTCATGGAGTTTACAATCTTTTATGAAAAGGTTAGGAAGAAACTATGTAGTCTTATTTAAAGATTCCTTATTTCATTTTGGTGGGTTTCAGTATGCTCAAAAGAAAAAGGATCTGGTCCCTTATATGCCAGATAGGAAGTGAGGAACTGTAAAGCAGGAGAAAGAGACCCTGAATGAGTGAATAAGGACAGTGCCTCTCAAATTTTTCTATGTGTATGAATCACCTGAGGATCTTGTTAAATTGCAGATTCTTAGCCAATAGGTCTAAGGTAGGGCCTGAGATTCTGCAATTCTGACAAGCTTCTGGGTGCTGCTTCTGCTACTAATCTGTGAACCACACTTTGTGTAGCAAGGAATTAGTGTATAAATAAGAGAAAAGAAGAATAGCCTGCTACCATTTTGAGAGGAGTGATTTGGGGCCATGCAGCACAGACTTGGAATTCTGAGCAGCACATCACTCAGAACTTGGCCTTGGTGAAGTGAAATGATAAGAGCTGTTAATGTTCATATACAAAGAAGGGGTATTAAGGAGGTAATCAACTGAGGTTGGATAGTGGGTGGGTCTAAAACCTTTGGAAAGATACTAGGCGGTGAAAGAGACGAGGATCTTCAGGTATGATAAAAGTAAATATCTAGTCAGAGAAACAAAATTTGTTAAGAGTTAGGTATTGACTAGGAGGACTTAGTTTGTAATTGGGAAGATTTTCTCTCCTCTTTATACTTACTCTAATTGGCATAGTGATTCTAGTAAAAAAAAAAAAAGTAAAAATAAGTGTTTGTTTTTTTTTCTTTAAATAGTATAATTTTTTCCATAGGCATATTTTGTGTGGAGAGTATGTCAAATTTCTTTGTTTGGGCTTCCCTGGTGGCGCAGTGGTTGAGAGTCCGCCTGCCGATGCAGGGGACACGGGTCCGTGCCCCGGTCCGGGAAGATCCCACATGCTGTGGAGCAGCTGGGCCTGTGAGCCATGGCCGCTGAGCCTGCACGTCCGGAGCCTGTGCTCCCCAACAGGAGAGGCCACAACAGTGAGAGGCTCGCATACCGCAAAAAAAAAAAAAAATTCCTTTGTTTTACAGATCTGAATAAGCTTAAATGTGATTAAGTTGCCCTTCTCTGATCTGTTCCTCTGGTGACAGCTACTTGGAGCATAAGCAACCTGGGAATTCATTTATCTTCATAGAATTAGCAGAAGACTCTTAATCTTGGAGGTGGTATAAAATGTCCAGTGGGTATCAAGCATTTATCCATAGAGAAAGATTTGGCAAGCCAAATCTTTGAACCAGCAACCTTTTATTAGTTTTATGAATTCACAATGCTAGTGTTTCCAGTTGTGTTTTTAGAAGTTTAGATTTTTTTTCCCCTTTCTGGTACTATTTTAAAAGTAATATATATTCATATATCCTCTTTAATATAACACCTAGTTTGTTCCAATCTGAAGATATTGGGGAATTACTACTAACATCCATAATTTATTATGGCTCTTTGTTTTAGTGTCATTGGAACATGTTGGTTTCCTTTTAAAATATTGGGTTGGCCAAAAAGTTAGTTTGGGTTTTCTGTAAGGAAAAACCCGAAATAACTTTTTGGCCAACCCAATAGTTATAATATTGTAAGGAGACTTAGTTATTGTACTGTTATGTAGGCAGAAAGATGTGAAATGTAATCATGGACAAAATCTCAGTGTTCCTTTAATTGTATTGGTTCATTATGATTAAATGAACCACATGTCAAGTTTTTTCGCTAGTTACATACCCAGTGCGATTTCTGGCATATTTGAAAAGCGTTTGCTGCACCAATTGTTATTTCAGTATTTAGTTCTCTTTTAACATAACTGTTAAAACTGAAAGTAAAACACTAAAAGCATTATAGTCTGTTCTAGAATCAGGCCAAGGAAGAAATTAAGTAAAACACATTATAGGCTAAAAATATATTTGCAAATTACATCTGAAATTGTTTTGTTAGAGCATCTACTGGAAATGAAATTCAGCTGTTCTTATTCTGTGGGTTTTTAAAAATGTAGTTATCTGGGGACTTCCCTGGTGGTCCAGTGGGTAAGACTCCTCACCCCCAGTGCAGCAGGCCGGGGTTCGATCCCTGGTTGGGGAACTAGATCCTGCATGCATGCTGCAACTAAGAAGCCTGCATGCCGAAACTAAGATCCGGCTCAGCTAAAATAAATAAAATAAATTTAAAAATAAATAAAAAAAAAAAATGTAAATATCTCAAAGTAGATGTCCATACAAAGTAAGTTTCTAATGTTTTCCAGTTTTTAACCCAGTTTTCCTTTAGAACCATATAAGCCTTTCCTATATATTCTGAAAACTCAAGATAGTAATACCTGGAAATGTAATTGAAATATGAAATAAATGAAAAAGTAATGTAACTGTAAAGTAAATGAGAAAGAAAATACAGATAAGTCTAACACTGAAATAATTAAATTTAAGAATAAAATTAGGGTGTGACTTGTTAATATTACACCACCACATTGATGTGTAATTGAGCCTTTGAGGGCAGGAACTATATTATATATTTGTGTTTAGCGCACATATTAAAGGACTCTTTGTTTAGTTTTTTTTTTTAAGACTCATTAGGAGCATATGTTTCTAGTTCTGGTAAAATCTGTTTTGTTTTGTTTTTTCTTAAAGTTATTTAGTTAAAGAAAAATAAAAAGAGGAGTCTGGAGTCATGCAGCCTGATTTTTTTTTTTTTTTTTTAATCCCAGCCCTACTGCTTAGTAGTTTTGTGATGTTGGAAGTAACTTGACTTCTCTGTGCCTCAGTTTTTCTGGTTATAAAATTATTAATAGTCCATTTCATAAGTATTGTTGTTGGGATTAAGTGAGATAATTAATCCACGGAAAATGCTTTGAAGAGTTTTGGCACACAGTAAGTATTCAATAAATGTTAGTTGCTGCTAGTCTTTTTATTTGGGAACACCACTATTGCATTGTCTATGATGAATTTATTTTGCTTTTTAAAACAGGCATGCATATCCAGGTTCTAATACGACAGGTTTGGGTGCTTAACATATACACTTAAAATTAGTTTCGAATAAAAATCTTAAGAATTTTTACTTTCAGCTACTATAACTTTAATTCCTGTATAAAAAAAGAGAGAGAAGCCATTCATTCAATAAGTCATTTTTTCCTAATAAACTTTATTGATACCTGTTCTTTATAAGGCATTGTACTAGGTGCTAGGAATGTAAAATGGAGCAAACTTGGGTGTGTCCTTCAGTTGTTCAGAGGCTAGTAGAGAAAGGTACCACTGAGTGTAAATCAGTGTTGTAAATAACCCCTTTTGTGCCAGCTCATTAATACATGATACATTTTTATTTTGTCTTCTGGAAGGTATATAAGCCAAATTTGTGGGTGGATTGGCCCTTTATTTTTAGCATCTTGTCTGTTTACCACAACTCAGTGGTATCTGTAATCATTCCTGTTTTGCAAATATGGAAATTTGCAAATTGAGGCTCAAAGAGGTAGTTTCCTCATACAGCTACAAAACTCAGTCCAAAATCCTACTTAATTTAAAAACTCATTCATTTTACTGTTCTACCTCCTGTATGTTTGTCGTAGGTGCAAGACCTCTCTTTGAAGACTTAACCCATTAAATTGTATTTGAGGTTTATGTGTCTGTTTCCCTGTTAGATTGGGAGATTTTTTTAGAGCAGGGACTAGTCTTAAGTATTTCTGGGCCCCCCCCCAGCAACTAGTAGAGTACTTGTCACATATTAGTTACCTAATAAAAGTTGAGTAGTGAATGAATATGTAGAATGTTAGAAGTAAAAGGAATTTTAGAGCTCATGTAAATATTAGACACTAAATTTCTAAAATAGAATTTTTGATTGTTTACATAGGGCTTCAGCTTTTGATTTTGCCTATTTAGGGTATTTAAAACACAACTACTACTGTCTATCACATCATCTCATAAAAGATGCCATTTTAACACCAAAAAAGTAGGAAAGGCAATCTCATAGTAAGCACAGTTTGGTAACTTTAAACCCATCTTTTTGGTCATGGCTGGTACCTGTTCAAGAATTAGATTTCAGGAACTATTATCTAATGCAGTCCTCTCCTTTTAGAGATGATGTATCTGAATCTAGAGAAGTATCCAAGTTCTTACAGCAAGGGAGAATGACCACTGAGTTTAGAACCCAGGTCTTCTGACTCTCAGCCCCAAATTTTGATCCTGTCCCCTCAGTCTTCATCACATGCTGAGATTAAGGCACAATTTGTGCCTTCACTAAGATCATATAGCTGTTAAGAAGTAGAGTTGGACTGAATCCATGTTACCCAAATCCATTTTAGCGAAACCTGTGCATTCACTTCCATGTAATTTTAACCTACTCTAACAGCTCCCGTTCAGTTTTAGAGATGGAATTATAAGTGATTTTAAAAAGATGTCTATATTTAGCGTTTTCTTTCCTTGAAAATTTCAGATTTGGGGCTTAAACAACTTCCAGGGAAGAAGGCCAGTGCAGCTGCTGTTGCAACCCAAGATTTTGATCCACATCCATAGATTGGAATATTGGTGGGCCAGCCATCCTCAGACACCTCACTGAGGACAGGTAAGTGAAAGAGATAAGAAGGATAAGAAAAGTAGAATGAGTGCTAATACGATTCCTTCCTATTTCTTGTTAGATGCAAACAGTTGACTGCCTTTAAGAATTTAACCCTTTATCCTATTAAAAACAAAGCATTTGGAATTCTAGGTGGGTGGGCAAAACATTTTCTTGATTGTAAAATATGTGTCAAAATGTTATCAGTGGTGAAACTTGGGGTAATTAAAATGTTTTTCTTTTTGTATGTTTTTCCAAATTGTATTTATGAACTTGCGTTAGTTACCAATTGTTGCATAACAAAACACTGGAACTTAGTGGTTTGAAACACATCAGTCATTTATTTTGCTCATGAATCCACAATTTGGGCAAGGCTCGCTTGGTGGGGACAGCTTGTCTCTGTTAAGAAGTGGTGTGAGGTGGGGTTGCTGGAGGGAGGGTGGTGGCTCAATGGCTGGGAGCTAGAATCATTTTTCTTTTAACATCTTAATTGGAGTATAATTGCTTTACATTGTTGTATTAGTTTCTGCTATATAACAAAGTGAATCAGCTATACGTATACTTATATCACCATATCCCCTCTCTCTTGCGTCTCCCTCCCACCCTTGAATCATTTGAAGGCTTGCTCACTCATGTGTCTGGTGGTTAATGCTCTCTGTAGGCCAGAACACTTGCAGATGACCTCTCTTTTTGGCTGCTTGGCTTCCTCACAGCATGGTGGGTTCCAAGCGAGAGTATCCCAAAAGAGCAAGGCGAAGTCACATGGCATATTTGACTTAGCTTTGGAAGTCACCTAGTGTTACTCTGCTCTTTTTTGGTTGAGGTAGTCATAAAGGTCCACCCAGGTTCAGAGGAGGGGCTGGACATAGACCCCACCACTTGAAGGGAAGAGTATCAACATCAATTTATAAGAGCATATGGGATGGAATCTGCCATTGTAGCCATTTTTGGATGATATAATCTGCCACAATTTGTATTACTTTTAAGATAAAGAATATAAACATGGGTATAATAAATGAAAAACTGGGATATTTGCAGGAAATTATGGTGTATGAGTCCAATAAGAATTTTTTGTGCTCTTCTTGTCTACTAGAATATGATATTGAAAATAAGATGCCCAAACAGGAAGAAGTGAAATAGATTTTGAATTTTCTTGCATATCAACAAAGCAGCATACTGCTGTAATCAAAAGTAGAGACAAAAATTTATACACAAGATGCAAAATAAGATTTGTAGTTCGGGTTTGTTGTTTTTTAGAAAATGCTAGTTATTTTTGTTCAAAGTTTACTTGGGTTTTTTTTTTTCCTTGTTTATTTTAATAATTTGAGAATTATTTGGGAAAGTGATTTCCAATACAGTATTTAGATTTGAGAAATTAGTGCCAGTGTTATCATCATGTGTATCAAGTTTGTCTCTCTGCTTCTTTTAAGAAAAACTATGTAATCTTTTTCAGGATTTTTTTTACCTGCTAAACTTCCGCTAAATAGGAAAACATTTTTTCAGTGTGACAGTAAAACTTGGAAAGTTATAGAATATTTGGTTGTCTTATTGATCACACTTACCAATTATATAAATTGTTGCATTTATATAATTATATAAAATTATATAGATCTGTGGCAATTTTGAATATAGCTAATACTCAATTTCTGGATGTAACGGGATGTTTTTAGATAATCTTCTGAGCGTTACATGAGGGTGTTGATCCATTCACTATAGCTGGGAAATAAGTTCTAGGGAGCAAGCGTCTCGTTATCTCTTAGACCCAGAACATTTTCTTGCTGTCTAGATGCTTTCCCATTTCTAGTTGATTTATGTTATAATGAGCCTAATTCAGTTGAGTTGGTTCACTACTATTTCCCCACTACTCACAGGTAGATAGATACTTTACAATGGAAAGTGACTGAACCAGCTATTGTGACAATAGAGGTAATCGTTTTTCTCTCAACTGTGAATAATAAGAATTGACTGAATTTGTGAAATAATATATTTTAGTTCAAAAGGTACAATAATTGGGAAAGCTGTTTTTGTTGGCATTTAAAAACAAGATGAGATGGTTTCCAGGAGAATTAGATTGGGAATAATGATTACAGATATTATAAAATAGTGTATCTTATACAACAACAAAATATATGCATATATGTACGAACATATATAAAGTCTTTAAGCAACTAACTTGCTGCCTTTTTTGTTTTAAGCATTTTTTTAGCCCACTTTTGCGTTTAAGTAGTCTGAATAGGTGAATTGCTGATAACATCTTCAGGTTTACTGAATACTTTGCCTTGCCTCCTTTCCACAAGGCCAATGCCTGAGGGGATAAAAATCCCTTAAGTAAGTGAGATACTGCTTTCTGACTGAAGCTAAAACAAAAGACAATGGAAACTCCTAAAACACCATATAGAAATTGCAAATATGGTGGTGTTTAGTCTGTGGTACTTTATTCAATTCATGGAAGGAGGTAAATGATGAGGTTCTCTTGTAAATATGAATGGCTGTGTAAATATTCTTTTAAAACGCAAAAAGAATTTTGAATAATTGTGGAAGGCAGACATATTTCTTTGGGGTCGGTGGTTCTCCTACTTACCATTATCTTTTGGTGAGATTCTTACTTCTAACAAATGGCGTTCAGTTCATGCTTATTCAGGTTTTTGGCAAAACAGAAGTTGTGTGACTTTCTTCTTGTGTGTGCCCCATTATTAAAAGGTATGGTACCTTTTATATATGAAATGTTTAACAAAAGTATTTAAAATCTGTGGCAAGGAATTGATTGGCCTAGCATAAAATTGACCATATTGGGGACTTCCCTGGTGGTCCAGTAGTTAAGAATCCACCTTCCAATGCAGGGGACGTGGGTTCGAGCCCTGGGTGGGGAACTAAGATCCCGCATGCCATGGGGCAACTAAGCCCGCGTGCTCTAGAGCCCATGTGCCGCAAAAGAAAGATCCCACATGCCGCAACTAAACACCTGATGTAGCCAAATAAATAAATAAAGTATTTAAAAAAAATTTGACCATATTAATCTTTTTTTTTGGCTGCACTGCGCGACTGTGGGATCTTCGTTGCCTGACCAGGGCTCAAGTCTGTGCCCCCTGAATTGGAAGCATGGAGTCTTAACCACTGGATTGCTAGGGAAGTCCCCATATTAATAATTTCTTTTTGTAAATTTATTTTTTATTTTATATTTACTTTTGGTTGCATTAGTTCTTTGTTGCTGCACGTGGGCTTTCTCTAGTTGCAGTGAGTAGGGCGACTCTTCATTGCAGTGTGCGGTCTTCTCATTGCAGTGGCTTCTCTTGTTGTGGAGCACGGGCTGTAGGTGCGTGGGCTTACGTAGTTGTGGCACACAGGCTCAGTAGTTGTGGCCCACGGGCTTAGTTGCTCCGCGGCATGTGGGATCTTCCCGGATCAGGGCTCGAACCCATGTCTCCTTCATTGGCAGGTGGATTCTTAACCACTGTGCCACCAGGGAAGTCCCCATCTTACTCATTTTTAAGTGTACAGTTCAGTAGTATTAAGTATGTTCACATTGTTGTGCAACCAATCTCCAGAACTCTAAACCTTGCAAAACTGAAGTTCTACCCAATAAACAACTCCCTATTCCCTCCCTCCCTCTAGCCCCTGGCAACTAACATTCAACTTTCTGTGTATGAATTTGACCACTCTAGGTACTTCATGTAAGTGGAATCATACACTATTTATCTTTTTGTGACTGGCTTATTTCACTTAGCATGATGTCCTCAAGGATCATACATGCTGTAGCATGTATCAGAATTTCCTTCATTTTTAAGGCTGAATAATATTCCATTGTATATACCACATTTTGTTTATCCATTTATCCTTTGATGGACACTTGGGTTGCTTCCGCCTTTTGGCTACTGTGAATAATGCTGCTATGAATACTGGTGTACAAATACCTCTTTGAGCCCCTGCTTTCAGTTCTTTTGGGTGTATACCCAAAAGTGGAATTATGGTAATTATGTTTAAATTTTGAGGAACTGCCATACCATTTCCATAGTGGCTGCACCATTTTACATTCTCACCAACAATGCACAAGAGTTCCAGTTTCTCCATATCCTCACCAACACTTGTTATTTTCTGTTTGTTTTTCAGTAATAGCCTTTCTATGCAAAAAGCATGGACTTTTGATCAGATATACTGGAGTGAGTGCTGGTGGGGAGCCCACCTCTTCATACCCATGTGACCTGGAGCACATTTGTTAACCTCATCTGTTAGAAGGGTACAGTTGTCCTTCTATCATTCAGTATTAAATGTTAGGATGGCCTGGCACAGTCTAGACATTCAGTAAATGTTGCTTGCCTCCTTGGCCCCATCACTCCTGGAAGTGTGCATTGATTCCTTCTGTGTCGTCTTATCTCCCCTGAGCAGCCAGCTCCAGTTGGAATTAAAGCTTGGAAAAAAAAAAAAATAATAATAATAGCCTTTCTAACGGGTGCTAGGTGGTATCTCATTGTGCTTTTGATTCGTATTTTTCTAATGATTAGTGATGTTGAGCCATCTGAGCATCTTTTCCTGTGCTCGTGGGCCATTATACAAATATAAATATAGTTTCTGTGGAGAATATCTATTCAAGTCCTTTGCCTGTTTTCTAATCACGTTGTTTGGTTTTCTTTGTTGTTGCATTGTTGGAGCTCTGGATATTAACTGCTTATCAGATATAAGATTTGTAGACAATTTTTCCTATAGGTTGCCTTTTGACTCTGTCAATTGTGCCCTTTGATGAGCAGAAGTTTTTAATTTTGATGTAGTCTAATTTATCTATTTTTACTTTTGTTGCCTTTGATTTTGGTGTCATATACAAGGACTCATTCCCAAGTCCAATGTCATGAAGCTTTGCGCCAATGTTTTCCTCTAAGAGTTTTATAGTTTTAGGTCTTATATTTAAGTCTTTGATCCATTTCAAGTTAATGTTTGTATAGGGTATAAGGTTGAGTTAATTTTTTTTATATGGCGTGAGGTAAGGGCTCAGCATCATTCTTTTGCATATGGTTATC